AAATACCCCCCAAGAAGGATGGGTTGGGGGGGGAAAGTAGGGGGTTAAAAGTCCATCATTTTAAAGGTTGCTGAGATTGAGAAACATTGCTCTACACTCACCTGCACTTTCTTCTATCCTCAAACAGAAAAGGCTGGAGAGAGTGGCACTGGCCCAGAGACCCCAGGGAGCTTCTGTGGCTGAGGGGAAAGATCAAGGTCTCCTCACTGCCCATACAGGCTGAGAGGGAAGGGCTGCCCCAAAGGAGCTTCCATCACTGAAGAGGGACTAGAACCCAGATCGCCTGTCTCCTAGTCCAACCCCTTCCTCACTGGGTCATCCCAACTCTTGGGCTGAGAGGGAGGGACTGGCCCAAGGTCACCCAACTGGCTTTCATACCTCAGGGAGGACCAGAACCCATGGTCCCTCTGCTCTTAGTCCAGCATCTTTAGCCACTACCCCACTCTGGCTCAGGCTGAAAAGAAGGGATGGGCCCAAAGTCTCCCCAGGAGATTTGGTGGCTAAACGGGGAATAGAACCCAGGTCTCCCTACTCCTAGCCAAGACCTTCCCCCCTGGAGCAGACTGGGTTTCCAGAAGATCTTCTCGGAGAGGATTTGAATTTGATGGCCATGGAAAGCTCACGGCTAACCTCTCTGGTATGTGTGGAGATCTCAGATTTGAAGGGTCTTGCCATCTTACACTGCTGCAAAACTGAGAGGCAGGCAGGACCTCCCTTGTCAAAGAGCCACAAGTGACCTCTTGCTGGTTTATGACCCTAATAAAGACCCGATTGACTTGATTTCATCTCTTGCACCCAGCGGCATCCACAGGACACCACCGCTTGGGGCGGAATGACTAGGGCAGAGTCACAGCGCTACGGGGCTAGGTTTGCCCTTTCTGAAGGCGCACGTGCCCTGCGGCACCTGGAGAAAAGGGGTGGGGCTTGCCTTGCTCTGACCCACCCCCGTCAGCCTGCAGACGCCACTGCTGACCACCCCCCCGGACAAGGTTTGGATCCCTACCTGAAAGAGCAGGCAGGAAGACCTCCTTTTTATGAGCTTGCTCTGCTTAATTCTCTCCCCCCACCATGTTTTTATTGCTTGAAATTATTCTTCTACTTGATCACAAGATACCATGGGTACTTTTCAAAGTGGAAAGCGGGGGCAAAGCCTTAGCTGGATCAAGAACCACGGTCTGAAGAAAAGTGGGGAGAGGCCATGGAGTCTCAAGACCGGTTCCCCTAACCAGGCTCCAATCCCTCCCCATTCTGAGTCCCGCAAGAGGCCCATCCTGTTGCCATCTCCTCCTCTTCCTCCTCCTCCTCCCTCCCACCAGCAGGCCCCTTACCGGTTTCATGATCCAGGTGATGCCCGGATTCTTGCGAAACTCCTCCACGAACAAGTGGTACTCGGAGGGCATCTCAAAAGTCTTGGGGAAGAAGTCGCACTTCATGGCCTCCAGCTTCCCGGACTCCCTCTCCAGCTGCTTCCGGAGGCGCTTCAGGTTTTTCACGGTGTAGTTTTTCCGAGTCAGCTGCGTGGGCGAGAAGGGAAGGAGAGCCGCTTCAGCCAAGGTGCTCTGCACCGGGCCCATCTTTTGGACCGGAACTGGCTCCCAGAGGAAGCTTGTTCACAGCTGTCTCTTTGGCCAGGGAAGAGCTGAGCTGAACCAGGTTCAAGAGAGGCTCCTCCACTGAGCCGTCATCCTGCATCCGGAGGGTGGGTTCCAGGGTTCAAGGCAGAACCCCTCCATCCAAATCCTGGCTCAGCCATGAATTCCTACGGCAGCAGGTCGCAGCCTAATAGCAGCCCCTGGCTCTGGTTTTTAATAGGGAGGGAAGGGAAACTGCCTACTGTATATTATTATTGTAGGTTGGAATTGTCCTTCTATGACTGATGGTGTTTTACTTCCTCTTTCCAAACCAGTGTTTCTCAACCTCAGCCACTTTAAGATGCGTGGACTTCAACGCTCAGAATTCCCCAGCCAGCACAGAATTCTGGGAGTTGGAGTCCACGCATCTTAAAGTGGCTGAGGTTGAGAAACAGTACATTTAAGGGGAAGCTACAGGGAAGATGTTCAAGAACTTTTTTCCATGCTGCAAAACTTACAATGGATAGAAGTTGTGGCTACCTAGAGCTTGTTTAAGTACAAAGAAAAATTTCTGGAGGGTAAGATCTGTCCGTCCACCTGTGGAGGTTGTGGCTTTCCACCTTCTTATACCAGAAGAGGTTCGACAGCCGCCTCCCAAGAAAGGTGGCATTAGTTTTCCTGCACATTGCAGAGGGGTGGCCTAGATGATCCTTGGGATCCCGTCCAACTCTACAGTTCTATGATTCTGCAATTGTTTGATAATTTGGTTGAAACCTGACCATTTTGCCGTAACAGGACAGATCACTGAAGTGTATCAAAATTCAGACTAATATACATCATTCCTACATAGTATATGTACATGGAATAGATATATATACTGTATATATAGCGTGTGTATGAATGTGTGTGTTTGCATACACTGCTTCCATTTATACAACTGAGGAGGAGGAGGAGGAGGAGGAGGAGGAAGTAAACAGTTCCATACAAATCCTTAAACAGTGGGATTTTATGGGGAACAATATTCTACCGATCCTTTAATTCAATTCAATCCAGCTATCCCAGGGGAATCCACAGGAGAGGCAAGGGGGGAAGTGACATCATGTGCATCATGACATCATTTGTGCAATGATGTCATGACGGACGCAGGGTCACGGGGGCTTCCAACAGATCCCTATGGAACTCCCTCCCGACAGAGTCCCATCTCGCGTGGCTGGCGGACAACCCCCCCCAGCTCCCCCCCGTTTCGCTCACCTCGTAATGGTTGCGGAAGTGGCTGATGCGGACATGCTCGTCCATGTACGTGTGGTCAAAGTTCTCCTGAAGCCAGCGGACGTCACACCAGTAAAAGTCCCACTCGCCATCACTGGGGAGAAAGGCCCAGCAGCACCGGGTCAGCCAGCAACTCCCTTCGCTTTCTCAAGGTGGCTGTTACACCCCAGCTAATGCGTGGATTGAAAATGCCACCGTCAACATCAGAGGCCTCTGAACCTCCCAGCGTGTGTTGATCTGGAATAGCAATGTTCCAGAAGCATGGAAAGCGTTATGACAGGAGAGCAGGCTTTTGGAAACCGCAAGGAGAGGCTAGGAAAGGGTAATGTCACTTGGCAGCACCAGCCCGGTGCCAGCAGAGAAGTGCCAGAGGAATGCAGGGATAACCTTGTCGAAGGGAGGCAGGAACAAGTCAGGGAAGGTAAATGACAACTCAGCCCCAGGAAAGGGTGAGAGAGAAACTCAAGATTGCCTCGCCTTGATTCGCTTTGGTACAAGAGCGGGCAGAAGGAAACTTTCACGAGTCTTATTCTACCCCTTATAAACACTGCAAATTGGTAGATGCACAAAAAGGGGGAAGTCAGAAACCAAATAGCATTTTTTAGCTGTTTTTTGTCGTTTATTTTGGGGTTTTTTCTTTTGTGTTTCTTTTTTTTAATATGTACAAACAATAATACGGAAGAATACAGTGGAAACCTTAGTATTAAGTATTGAGCTTAAGACAGAAGCTTTTATTTCATAAGAAATAAAATATATTTATAATGTATAAATTAATTACTTTGCAGTTGTTTATTAATGCCACATTTAGCTTTAGGTGTAAAAATGTAAACAACTTTATGCTTATCAACATTAACATTTTAGAAATCATAGTTAATATTAATATAAACTTCCTCTTTGTCTTTAAAGGTTTAAGTTATCTAAACATTAGAACAGTGTTTCTCAAACTTGGCCACATTAAGACATGTGGACTTCAACTCCCAGAATGTCCAAGCCAGCATGCTGGCTGGGGAATTCTGGGAGTTGAAGTCCACATCTCTTTAAAATGGCCAAGTTTGAGAAACACTGCTCTGGAGGAAACTATCATTCTTAGATGCATAAAGCCTATAGAAGTTACTTACATTGGACTTTCCTTAGGGAGAAAATAATACTTCGTGTGGATTTAGGATCTATTAAACAAGCTTTTTTCCAGTTTTCCACCTTGAATTTGCCTTTCATCGTGAATATTTCTTTATTCATCTATTTTTCAAATGTATGTATGCCGCCCATCTCACTACACCAGTGATGTGTTGTGAAAGTAAAGTCTCTTGACTGCCAAGAACTCTTCTGCACAGTGAAGATACTTTGCAGATAAGACTGGCAACTCTGCTAAAACGTGCATTTTCTTGTTTTCACTTGGCAGCAACTTGGCCATATAAAATTTAGGGGCACTTTGAGGATTACATATTGACATTAAAAAATTAAGTTAGCCAGGCACGTCTGTAGGGATGGGGTCAAAAAAGTCAAGATGGTAGCCACAACTATACCCCTTTTTAACATGGCTTTTATCACATGGTTTATCACATGCTGGCTGGGGAATTCTGGGAGATGAAGTCCACACATCTTAAAGTTGCCAAGGTTGAGAAACACTAATCTAAGGGATGGGCATTGCAAACTGGATTGAAAAAGGGGTGCAGGAAGAGCCCCCCCCGCCCTTGTTCCTTGGGGGCTGTAATGCCAACAGGAGACATCAAACCTCTATGCATTAGTTGCTGTATTTAAAGATGGCTTCAAATATTTGTTCCTTTATTCTTGGGGATCTTTCACATTTTTGTTCCTTACCAGGAAAATATGTGAGATAGAAAATAGATTTATCTGAATTTTGTTGTACCACCTGGCGCCCAGGAGCAGAAATGTGCCTTGGTTCAGCCCCCTTGGCACCCAGACACCACACCCCACCCTTTCACCTTCAGAACAAGTCCCAGCCTTCAGCACTTTTACTTCCAACAATGTCCCCACGTTATCGCCCAATAAGGCCACGAGCCTTCTTCTCAAACACAAGTGAGAGGTGGGCACAGCCCGATGCGCTGGAAAAATGTCCCATTAGCTGAAAAACGCAAGCAGGAGAGGACAGAAGAGGGCATAATTCTGCCGCCAAAGAGGGGCAGGTCATTTTCGGTGTATTTGTGCTTTAAAACTGTCAGTCTGTGGTGGCAAGAAATCTGGCAGCTTCTGTCTTTTAATAAAAAGTGCCACTGGATTCCTGATTTTTTTGCTTTCCTCAAAAATTCTTTTTGTTTTTTACTGGCAGGGCGATGGGGCTCTCTTCGCAGCACGAGAAACTCCGTAGCTCCAATCCTTGGTCTGAGATAACCCCGATTCAGAGGAAGCCTCAGACTTTTGAATTCGCCCACCAGAAACCAAAATTCTCCTTCAGCCCTAGCCGAGTAGGAGAGAGAAACGTCTTCTCGGGAGCGCCCAGCTTTCTCACCTCCATAATAAGAAAATGCAAACCTTACTCTTTCACTTCCACCCATCCTGGTCGCTGTCGAAGGACGTCTAAGATGGTGTTTGTGAGGGCACACTTAAATCGGATAGAAGCTCGGGGTTCCCTGTTTAAAAATAATAGAAAAAAATAATTAATCCCTCTTCTTTCAAAATTGCAAGCCTATTTGTAATTTGCTCTTTTCTTACAGGAACCTGAACACATAATAAGAGGAAAAGGAGGATAATGAAGAATGAAGGTTGCTCAATTCTTGGATTTTACGGCTGTTTTAGTCTCTGTTCTAACATGTCTCTAAGCAGATGTTTCTCAACCTTGGCAACTTGAAGAGGTGTGGACTTCAACTCCCAGAATTCCCCCGCCAGCATGGCT